GAGCCCATATATATTCATATTATTATCATTTATACATTTTAGAAACATATTGACCTATGAAATAGGCAGCTAAGGGCACATGCTTTCTTTCCCTAACTTAAAAAAATTAAATTTTTTATATGCTTAATTTACCCATGGAGTAATCATAGATGCCAGGTTAAGCAGGTAAGTCTTAAAAAAGCTGAAAGCTGGAGAATATTGCCATCAATCTTGAATCATTTCTTCATAAAGAACATTACCAAATTGGGTGGTTGTTAGTTGCCAGATATAGAGCAAAAGTAAGGACAAAGGAGAACAAGAAATAAGTCTCTAAACTAATGCATCTTATGTACTAGAAATAGGTCGTTAATCAATAGCTGCATTGAGACAATACTAAGGTCACTATTTGAACAAATGGAAAGAAATTTCTCTGGGGAAAGACAAAAATATAAAATTAAAATTATGTGTGATGAGAAAATGAGAGTAGAAATAGCTCCATTGGTCTTCCTTTGGAAACCCTGCCCTATTCTAGTTAGCGGTATCTGCTTTTCTCTTAGTTGCCCCTATTCAGTACCACCCCCTTCCATGCCCTACCCCCAGCACTTTATTTTAATTACTTGTCTGCATCCTTCAGCAATTGGTGGCTTCTGTATGTGGTTTTATGAGCTTTAGCCTACATTTTGTAGGACAACATCTGACATGGAGTCTTAGTTTTCATTGTGAATCCTTAATGCCATAGGAAAATTCTGATTTTTGAATACAGATGATGAATTGGAGGACATGATGCTGAAGGACATGGGACTGCAGGTGGATCACATACAAGATATCATAGCATATGAATAGCTGATATAAAAATGCTAAGGCAGTAAAATAAGACGATGACAGTGGGTAGGTGAGAAAGGAGTAGATTTAGGCACAATACCTAGCTGATAAAAACTGTGATCTGGAAAATATAGTCTCTAGTTTTTGTTACAATTTTTAGTATAATTTCTAAGTGTTTAGAAATCAGCAATTTTCTTTCTAAGCATTTCTTGGACCAATCTTTCCTTACAATACTAAATAGCAAAAGTTATCAAAGCATTGTCCAAATAACAAAATATTTAATTGTTAATTCAATAATATGGGAACAATGCTAAATGTTCTCTCTCATCAATATGCATCTTCAGTTAGACAAAATAGTGTTAAAATGTATTAGTTCTTCACTATAAATATAATACATTTTATTAGAGTCATGATGCTAGGAAGCATTGAATAGTAATTAAGTATAAAACTGGTGCTTTGCTTTGTTATTGCAATTAGAGATTGGCAAGCTTTTGCTAGTGTTGAACTTTATTGTATTTTTATTAGTAATTTGATATTTGTATTTGGCCTTTAACAAGTTAGTTCACATGCGGCATTGATTTGCCGTCATCTTTACCATTATTCATCAGACAAGACATAACGTGACGCCTCATATTTCACTGACAGAATGTCAAAAGAACAAGCGCTTCCCTAGGAAAGGTTGGCCAGAAGAACTATGGTTTGGCATTAGGAGAATTTTCATTCATTTTAATGTTACACAAGAAAAAGATGAAATTCTATCTCTCAAATAAGATGTGTGTTGTAAAATGTGAAGGAAACTATCAAAACAGACGTACATTTTTATAAACTTCATAGGCACATCTGTAGTCTTTTCATCCTTCATTAGTAGCTGCATGAACTAAGCCTAAAATATATGTTCTGCTGGAATCAAGACTTGACTATTTCAGAGATGATGAACAATTCTTCACCATTATGATTTGTACTATATCCTAGCTTCCTTTTCTTTATTCTTTCATATTTTTCTTCTTTGGATATTCTTTCCTTCTTTGTTTATTTATCTAATGTTGGTACAAATCACTTTGAATCCATGGACTTTTCCCAGCTTTGCTTATATACTGCATGTAGACTTATATTCAGAGTTGGTATATTAAAGTTCTAGAGTAACTTTGAAAAAGGACGTAGAAGAATTGGTGATAAAATGTATAGTATGTTAATGAAATAGGTGATAAAATATGTTTTAGTCATTTAATATACTATGCAATGCATTTACATAGTATTAAAAATAATATTTTAATGGTTAGACACTTTTTTGCCTGATATTATTTGAATAATAAAAATGAATCTAATACAACTTACTACCATGTTTTTTCCATTACCTTAACACATGTGATGCATATACCATACACTTTTCCTTTCTCTTATGTTCATTTTGTGTTTTCATTCCATAGGTATATCTCTAGTAGATTTTTGGAAGTAAGAACAGTTTACTATTTATGGACTACACAAATTTTAGGAGATAACTAGCTAATTTCATTTGAAAGATTAAGTATATAGTTTTTTATTTAAAGGTATAATATATCTGGGAATAAACCAATCTAAGTAAAGAAAGTGCAGCTATGACTTTCTGACACAAAAATAAATGTGCTCTTTTCTACTGAATTTTACAAAATAAATGTAAATTTAATTGATGAAATACAACGGTAAATACATTCTATACTGAAAAAGGACAATTATTTTATGATTAGTTTTCTTGTATATTTTTTATTTGAGTTAATAATATGACATTTAAAGTTAAGTAAGAAAATAAACCTAAGCATTTTTATTAATTAATCAACTTGTGTATTTTCAGTTCAAATCAGTAAATATGCTTATAACCTACTATTTTTAAGGTATACTGTTAGGGGCAACAGAGCAAGAACAGTTCAGTGTTATAACTCTAAGGTAGCTTAAATCCACTTGAGAAAAAGATACCATAAACATATGAAAGGTAAATACAAAAATAATTTAAAGTGTTAAAGAGTCCAACATTGGAAAGAACATTAGACTGTGCATAATCAATTTTCAGATAAATGTAGAAAAATATTGTCAGCACCAGTTAAGAAGAGTAATTTAGCACTGCTAGTTGGCCTCATCAAGGAAATCTTTATAAATATATGAGATTTCACCTATACCTTGAGGATTTATCAGATTAAGATAGGTAAAATTGGAGGCATCCAGTTTATTTGAAATAAGTTGGATTCTATAAACAAACCTACCAGAAAAGTATGTAGACAAGAGGAGACAAACCAATTTAGTTTGAGCAGAAGATTCATGTTGAGAAACTATAAAACCTATCCTAAAGCTAGACTAAAGATTAAATATATTTAATAAACAGAATAGATAAGAGAAATAAAATTGGTAGACCATTCTCATATTTTCATAGAAAAAAAATGTAAGTGGTGCTCTGCTTCACTTGTGCCCAATTTTTTTTCTTTCTTTGGAAGATATTGCCATTTAGGGAACTATCTGAATTGTTCCAATACCATTTTCCTTCCACATATGTCATTTAAATTTTTCTCTTTTTAGTGATCACTGTAGCCTTGACCAACCCCAAAACAATATTAGGCCTTCCAAATCAATTCTATAGTACCCTGTATTTTTAATAATTTACTTAATATCAATCTACTGAATTGTATGCTATATGAAATAAAGTCAGGACCCTAACACATAACTGTTGGGAAAAAAGATGATAAATTTGGGGTTACTTTAAAAAGAGATTTTAGTTTTTTAGACCAGTTTCAGGTTCACAAGAAAATGAAGTAAAGCATAGAGATTTATCCCAACTTTCACATATGCATAATCTCCTATCATCTCTCACCAAACTGGTGCACTTATTCTAGTTGATGAACTTGCATTGGCACATCATTATTGCCCAGAATGCATCATTTCCCACAGGGTTTACTCATCATGTGGTACATTCTGTGGTTTGGACAGATTCAGGTTGACATGTATCTACCATTATTGTATCATACAAAATATCTTCACTGCTCCAAAATCCACTTTGCTTTTTGCCCATCTCTTACTCACTCCCCAGAGTCTGGCACTACTGATATTTTTACTCTTTTCATGGTTTTGCCATTTCTAGAATGTTCTGGAATTGGAAATATACAATCTATACCCTTTGTATATTGACTTCTTTCACTTACCAAGGTGCATTTAAGTTTTCTCCATGTCTTTTTATGACTTGAAGCCCAATTCTTTTAAACATTGAATAATATTCCATTGTCTGGATGTATCTGTTTATTTATTCAACTTCTGGGGATATCTTAGCTACTTCCAAATTTTGGCAATTATAAATAAAACTACTATACATGTCCACGTGCAGGTTTTTATGATATATTCAGTTTTTAACAAAATGATTAAAATGTTACTCAAGTGAAGATATTCAACCTACAGTGGATCTATATGGGTTACAGTTTTTTTTTAATAAGGGAGATCAAGACTAGTTATGCATAGCTGTGATATGGATAGTTAATTCTAATTTTAGGTACTAGGCACTAGCAATGGAGAAGAGTATTAAAAAAGTTCTTGGACTTAAGGATCTCACAGAATAATAGGACAAAAGAGACACAGAGACAAATAATCCCAATATAATATGGGAAGTTCCACAGTGTAGGTATTATAAAATTCTAATCAGTTGTATATGGAAATGGGAGAGAAGGTTCCACAAAACTAACCACCTTTGAGGTGACCAGGAACCCACAGGCAGATAGATGATTTGAGAACAGTCATACACAGACCCAGAGTTTAGGAAAAAATAGAAATTAGGCTGATGTTGGGGAAACAGTGAGAAACAGAGCTAAAATAACAGATTAATCCGTTGGGGAAGGATCTTTTAAGCCAGCTAATGAGTTTTGACTTTTCTCGTATTAGTTATGATCTTAAGTGTAGGTGTGATGTGAATTAACATCCTGTTGCCTACATTAAAGACAGGGTGGAAAAGAAGAAAAGAGAATCAGAAAGCTAGTGAACTATTTTATAGAAGGTGACTGATCAATAATTGTGGAAGAGGAGATGTAGGAGGCAGATTCAGGAGATGTTTAAGATGTTGAATTAAGAAAACAATTAAATCCTTTATTATTTTTATCTTATACTTAAAATCTATATAAAAGTATATTAGAACTTGTTTAATTTCTGTAAACATTAGGATTACAGAAAAGGCATAAGTAGAAATTCTCTGATTTTGTGCCACAACAAAAACAGTTTAATTTTTCATATTCCTGGACCATAATCCCCTTTCTAGATGTAATTTGAACATGAAATATAAGTATTTAAAATAATTGTATTTTGTGCACTTAAAATATGTCAATGGGGTTCATTTCATATTAAAGGTTTTACTACAATAAAACAATTTTTAAAAAAATATATATTTTGTAGGACAAGGTTTTGAACTTCTGTTTTCTGGTTTGAATTTAACACTCAATGTAAGCAGAAGCCTTTGATTTTACTGAGAAAATTAAGAGAAATGAACTAATATTGAGTATAATTTGTGTTATGAAGTCTAATGACTGGAATATCATATAGAAATCTTGTCATAAGTCTAGAATAAAAGCAAATCAAGTTCTCAGATACTTCTTACATGGTCAGTCAGCTCTATTGCCATATTCTGCTGGTGCATAAGGATAAATAAGAGAAGGAAGCAGTTAAGTCTACAAGCACTAAATTCATTAATTGTCCTTAATTAGCAATTTGGTGTTTCCACATGAGTAACTTTGTTGGGAAGTTATTGCTTTTTGTAACTGTGGGGTAACAATTAGCCAAAAAGATCTTTAAAGAATAAATTGAGGTACTGAGATAACAGTTGTAATTACAATTTTAAATTAGGTGATTTACTATAGTAGCACTGACAATGTGATCAGGACGAAATAAACTGAGAACATTTTAGACACCATGTGGTTGCTGTTTATTGTCAGTGTAGCCATTTTTGTTTGTCTATTCATGGGCATTTTTTTCCTCATCTAATTTCAGCTATGACAGTGATAGTTGGTGCCCTCCATTACCAGTACAGACATACTTGCACCAGGGTATGGAAGATGAACTGGAAGAAGATGACGATCGGGTCCCAACTCCACCTGTTCGAGGCGTGGCTTCCTCTCCTGCTATCTCCTTTGGACAACAGTCTACTGCCACTCTTACTCCATCCCCACGGGAAGAGATGCAACCCATGCTGCAGGCTCACCTGGATGAGCTGACAAGGGCATATCAGTTTGATATAGCAAAACAAACATGGTAAATATATTCACTGAGTCAAGGGATCCATGCTTTCTGCACATGGAAATGCCCTTTTATATAAACTCACAAGACATATTCATAAAACTATACACATGGGGATAAAATTTTGATTTTGTTTACTCCTTAATCATTTAGAAAATGATTTAACTACTACAGAAATGTTAATTTGACCAAAGTCGCATAGCTAGTTAGAGAGTAAGCTAGAACAAGAATTCAGGTCTGCTGAAATTCAGTTTAAAGTGTTTTTTGGCTACACTGGAATCTTCTAATTTACAACCGATTTAGCTTCAATTAGCTTATCCTTGAACTCACTTTTAATGCCATAATGAAGGACTCCTTTTGGATTCTTCAAAGTGCCTGTGATTAATTCTGCATGTGGTTGTGAATATGTAAATGCAAGCTTCTGCAAATCACTTATGGTCAGTGTCAGTTATTAAAAGACCCTCTTTGGGCAGAATTAAACAAATCAGAAAAATAACAAATTTACTAACAGTAAATGCATTTTTTAAAATCACAAAGAATAGATTAAAAACCCAAACTTCATTTTTTTTTTCTTTTGGTACCAGGGATTGAACCCAGGGTCACTTAACCACTAAACCACATGCTCAGCTGTTCCCCCCACCCCCACCTCAGACAGGGTCTCTCTAAGTTTCTTAGGGCCTCACTAAATTGGTGTCTTTGAATTTGTGATCCTCCTGCCTCAGCACTGGGATTACAAACCTGTGCCACCACACTAGGATCTATAGCTCTATTCTTCTAAATATTAGAAAACTTTCATAAATTATAGATGCGATTCATATAGGTATCTTGTACAAATATGGTAGATCATAATTTTATAGGGTTGGTTGTTTGTTCCAATGTTTTTCTCTCAGATAGTGATATATAGGCCTGCACCCTTGAAAATAAAATCTCTGTGACATTCTTTGATTTATGTTCTCTTGCTTTATACCCTGTGCTTGAAATCATGGTAACTTTTTTGAAAGATAGTATTATCTTTCTTTTTATGGGAGGGTAATTCTAGCTACTAGAGTAAGTTGATTATGAGATGACTCTTATTCTCAGTGTTAATTGACTATTTTTAAAATATAACAGCTATATTAAAATATAACATAGTTAACTATACATACAAAGAGATTCTCAAACAGGTATGTCACTTAAAGCTGTATGAACATGCTCTTTCCTTAGGATAAGAGGGTCTTGAATATTTTCTCATTTTTTTTCTAAAGATTAAAGACAACCTCGTGTTACACATAATTATTTTATGATACATCACTGGTTAAAATGAAGCCAATTACTTAAAGAGTGATAGGATTCTCTTCAAGGTTAACTGGTGAAATCACAACTTTAAGTCATTTGAAGCAGAGACTTTGGCTCAGGGGTTCTCAAATTGGTGTGTGTTTGTTTTGAAATCATATGGAGAACTTTAAAATATATTGGTCCTAAGTCCCACCTCTTGGCAGATTCTGATTCCATGCTCTGAGCTTTGACTGAGGACAGCCCAAGTTGGAGCAGTTACCATGGAGGTGAACCTGCTTCCTATCTGCATAACTATGGGCAGCTTGCTTACCACTTGCATGCTATAGTTAATGTGTTTAAAATGATGTCAGAAATAATAGCTCATGTATAAAATGAAAGGGCAGTCCTCAGACCACTCTCATTTCTGATAAACAAATACAAATATCAGGGTCCTAAGACCACACTGAAGTTCAAAAATTCACTAGAAGAATTTATAGAAATCTATTATTCTCAAAGACACAGTCAACTACTGTAAAAACATAGATTAAAGTCAGCAAAGAGATGAGTTAATAGGCAGAGTCTAGAAAAGTCCCCAAAGCTTCTAGTTGTTTCTTCCAATTGGAGTCAAGGACAGCACTACTTTCCCTAAAGTTTGATGATACACAGGGGATATTGCCAGACTTGGAAATGAGTTTCAAAAGACAACAGTAAAAGAACATAGCACTTACTCTTTAATCTCGCTTAAATAGAAGGGGTCTTTAAGTTACTTTTGTATGACAGCAATGAAAAGACTCTATGTTAAAACTTGTAGTACATTTGCTTTTAAGTGACATTGAGAAATAACCTTGCTGATGGCTGCAGTGGCGCACACCTATAATCCCAGTAGCTCTGAAGGCTGAAGTAGGAGGATTTCGAGTTCAGAGCCAGCCTCAGCAATGGCGAGGCATTAAGCAACACATTGAGACCCTGTCTATAAATAAAATACAAAATAGGGCCAGGGATGTGGCTGAGTGATTGCATGTCCCTGGGTTCAATCTTGGTACGTCCCCCAAGAAAGGAAGGAAAGAAGGAAGGAAGGAAAGAAGGAAGGAAGGAAGGAAGGAAGGAAGAAAAGAAGGGAGGGAGGGAGGGAGGAAGAAAGGAAGGAAGGAAGAAAATAACATTGTAGTGCTTTTGCTTAGCATTTTGTAGGTGTCCAGCTGCACATTAGTTAGCCACCTGATTTGATAAATTTAAGTTTTACTTGAATATGTTTGAAAACTGTGATGGTAATTATAAGATTCTATTTATCTAATAAAGGTTGAGATTGCAAAGGGTTTATCTAACACATCTTGTGTTCTAAACACAGAATACTAGGGTGAATTGTCTCTGCCTTGGAGAAGTTCAAGACATTGTTGGCTGAGATAGATGCACAAATAGGTAGATAGAGCAGAAGGTACTTGCCCTAACTGGGGGCAAATGAAAATACCACTCAGCCTGCTCTGAGAGGGTCATGCAAAAAGAAATCCTCCTAAGTCCAGAAATGTGCTGAAGGTGGAAGAGAGGGAACATTAGGCATTCCAGTGACATCTTAAGTGCTAGCAGGCCGCATGGGTGGGTTACACATAAACTGGAAACAAAATAATATGTATATGTATATATTTATGGGTATATATATATTATTTTTGAAAAGGTCAACTTTAAATAGTCTTGTGACAAGTATTTTCATTCTTTTTCTGATGACTTATCTATACAAAATATATGTTTATATCACTAGAATAATTCTTAAATCTATGTGGTTGTTGGTAAGGCATATGCCCAGAGACCTATTGTCTCTATTGACGTGTATGTAGTAAAGCATTGTAAACTCCAAAATTATTAATGCAAAAGAAGAATACTGTTACCATAGCATGCCATTTAATTCTTATTACAGTGTATTTGAATGTTAATGGACTGCTTTTCCCATTTTATTGTTTCCATTTGAATTCTAGGCACATTCAAAGCAATAATCCACCCCCACAGCCCCCAATTCCACCATTAGGTTATGTGTCCGGAGCCTTGATTTCTGATTTGGAAACAGATGTTCCAGATGATGATGCTGATGATGAAGAGGAAGCTTTAGAAATCCCCAGGCCCCTGAGAGCACTAGACCAGACACCCGGATCCAGTATGGACAATCTAGACAGCTCTGTGACAGGTAATGGAACTGATTTAATATGAATAACTGACCTATTTGCAATATTGAAATGCATCAAAAATCAAGTACTTTCTTACTTTCTTATGTAAGATTTATTCCACTCCATCTATTTCTGTAACATTTTAAATATGTTAATGTTAAACACAAAATTCAAAAAGGATTTGGAAATACTTTTGCTTTGCTGCAAAAATGATAAGAAAATTCATGAATTTTAAAAAGCTTTAAAGACATGAAAGAAAACTCAATTATAGTCATGGCTTTCATGAAAAGTTCACTGTGCTAGGAAACCAAGTCTATTACATAAAAAAAAACTGACTTTTAGAAATGATATATTTTGTATATCAGGAGGAACATACAAAATGAATGCAATCTTAAAATGCTTCTTGATATTTCACTCTGTAAAACCATTCACTGATGAAAATAAGCAAGTCTTCAGAAAAAGACTCTTCAGTTGCACAAGGTATTATTTTTAGAGTGGAAAATGCATAGTGAGATAAACCATGCATTTATGCATTTCATAGTGTAGAATCCAACAACTTCTCCTCTTCCAAGAAGTATATTTATTTTGACTACTCACTCCTCTGGCTTCTGCTTGCCTTGTTCACCAAGTGAAAGACTTCAGTTGGTACCCTCTTCTGATGATTCCAGGACTGATGTGTAACCTATGTCCAACAATTTCAATTGGAAATTTTAAAATCCTAATATGTACACAATAAATATGGTAAAAAAGTAAAGATTCAGTATTTCTGTTCACATAGTTATACATTCTTTGATGCACACGCACAAAAAAAAAAAATGCCTTTTACAAAATTCTGAAGACCTAGCTACTCCAAACTAAGCCTGATCTTTGCATTTCTTTAGGATTTCTAAGGAAACTACACATATCTGTATTTTCCTTGATGGCAACTTTCATCCTAGAAAGCATCTTATCACAGTCTCAATTTCCTTTTAATCCAACAGTTTCCCAATTCCACAGACTCTGTGTTCCATATTAGTTCTGCAAACACCAATGAAAACTGGTTTAGTGCTGAGAAAACATGAGTGCCTGCACTTTTCCTGTACAGCCCCCTCCCCCGCATGAGGAAGTGCATGATGCATGAGTCCACTATTCAGTTTTCCTTCTTGCTTGATGGCTGGTCAGCTTGCCAAGCTAATTAAGATTTAAAAACTGCAGATATACTGGTGTGATTTGAAACCCAGAATCAACCCTGGGTGACAGAGCAAAAGTTAAAATCTTTGAATTCAGAGAGCTGACTTATTAGTGCACTATTAAGTTAAGCCTCTTTGCCTGAATTTCTAGCATAATCTCCTTAAGGGTAAGATTCTGCATATTTTTGCATATTTCACTAATGATACTGAACTCTTTTTTTCCATTAGGAATGCAGTAAAAATTTGCAATAATGATGAAAAAAGTGAGCTATGCTGATGTAGTTCTTTTATTAAATATTATAAAGACAAAGATGATAAATGTATCTATAAATTGGGAGAACACCACCCTGCACTTTTACATGCACACATGTCAGGAACAAGTAAGGATGTCTAATGTAGTCGACTGGTTAAGATGTCAAGTTTGAACGTCTTAAGTAACCTGCATTTCTCCTGTTGGTAATATAATGTTGATTCCGAATGAAGCTCTTATTGCTAAGAAAAGAAAGTCTATTTTCCTACTTGAATTCACTGCTTAATTACTTCTGAATATAGAAACCTTAGGGTGTTTAGGCATGAATTCCACAATGCACTTATCCTATGAATAATACATCTCCTTAGCAGAAGTTGTACTTTACACTTAAACAACTTAAGCACCTCCCCATACACATTTTTTTTTTTTTGTCTTTCCACCCACCAATGACTTTGAGGAGAAAGTTTGATCAAAGATTTAATTTGCCTTCCAGGGTGTGTTGTGTGTCTATGTGTATGTGTGTAGGAAGTGTGAATGAGTATATGTAGGTATTAGTGTGACCATAGGGGATGTGAGTGTATTAGTGTATGTACATGTATGGGGTGTAGAGTGCATGAGTATAAATGTGTGTGAGAACAGGGAAGATTGAAAGTGTATATATAGTGTGAGTGTGAATAGGGTGTGCACATCTATACAGGGTATGTGCATGTATTACACAGTTTGCAATCCTATACAGTTTGTGCACATGTGTGTAGAGTGTAGGGTATACATGTGTGTATGAAAGACAAGGCACAATGTGTGTGGAATGTGTGTGAGTCTATGTAAGAGAGTGAATGTATTTGTGTGTGAGGGAGAGCAAATAGGATGTACATGTAATTGTGTGTGTAAACATGCCTGCTCATATGCTCAGGTGGATGTTTATGTGGACCAAATGTAATCAAAACAAACATGCTAATGAATATTGTCCTAATGATGTTCTTAGGTTTTGTTCAGCTATAAGGCTACTTTAATAGTGCTAATTGAGATAGGCCATACTCCTTCAATGAGCTTTGGAGACTAGAGGATTCTGAACTTACCATCAGTTACTTAGAGTTCTAAACTCATCTGTGGTGTAAATTAAACTTTACTTTCAACTGAAATTCCCTTATATTGTCATTTTCATGAAGCAAATGACCATTTTTATTAAATAGAACTAACAATTTCCATTCCTGGAGACTCTAAAGCCATCCAGAATGATACTACAGTAACACCGGGTGGGCTGAAAGCCTTTATGTAAAATTACACATTTTACTTGGCTGAATTGTACTCCCAACTGCCAGTTTAGGGAATACCAGCCACTAACATTCTACAGAGCTTTATTCTGTTAAAAAAAAAATATTCACATTAACTCCAAATATTTTCATAGCAAGTATGTAGTTTGTGAGTGGCTACTTAAATCTTGAAATGATCATCAAAAATGAAAAAGAACAAAAAGAAAAGAAAATATCAATAGTTCCATATCCCATGACCTCACTAATGATAATATGTATTTGCAAGTCTACTGTTTCATATGTTTATTCCCTAAACAAACATTTATTTTAAGCCTATTACTTCTAGTCACTTGAATAGACATTTAGATTCAATAATAGCAACAACCAAGCAACAATAATGATAATAAAGTAGAAAACCTAGCTTCTAATCGATGCATGATACCCTTCTAAGCAGTGGCTTGTTTTTCCTGCGGCTGGCTGAGCTAAGAATGGATTTACATTTTAAAGTTTGTAAAGAAACAAGACATAAGTAAGAAATCAGAACTAAAGAATGCATGACAGATGGTGAAGCCTAAATTATTTGGTTCCTTACATTTGTAGAAAGAACTACCTGCCCTGATTTTACCATCTACTAACTCATTTAATCCTCATAACCTCATTATTGTTGTTGTTGTTCTCAGTTTATAGCTAAAGAAATTGAATCACAGAAGGATTTAAATCCTTTTTGAAGGTTATCTACCAGATAAGTGGCAGAAGAATGAACAAAATCAATCAGTTTTACTCTAAAGATAAATTACTACGATCTCTGCCCTGGAAATGCCCAGTTTATTCTAATCCTCAGAATTAGCATATTGAAGACGAAAATAATGTTCTGGTTTTTTTACTTCTCGTGTGTGTGTGTGTGTGTGTGTGTGTGTGTGTGTAGAGAGGAATAAGTGTGTATTTATAAAAATAAAACATGCATTTTATCCCTGGAAATATTAATCCTTTCCCACAATGCACTTAATTTTGATAAAAATATTAAATTTTGATATGACTTTTACTATTTATTCTTCTCATGTTTAGCTCTGTGTGCAGTTGACTTTTTCTAATAAAATTCAAATCCATCAGCTCTTTTGGAAGGAATATTATTTTTATAATTTTTATTTTAATCTTTATCAATACTATTTGGTTGTAATAATGTACAATTTCTTACTATCCCACTCCATTTGGGACTAGGCAATGTCTATGCAACATTGTCTTAGGAAATATGGACTGTTTCTTCCTCAATGGTCAACCTGTCAGCTTTGTTCTTTGAGTACCAGGGAGGGACAAGGTTTCAACGTTTCTTTCTCTAACTTCCAAGGTGGTGGGAGTCAAGGATAAGTGTTTCCTGAATTTAACGACACCACCATGAAAAGAGACCAACGGCAAGAAGAGAGAGGGAGAGGACAATGTCCTGAACATGTAGTCAAGATTCTAAATGCCTCACTGATTACAAAAAGACCCAGATTGAGTGTTGTAAAGTGAAACGAATAAAATTTTCCTTGCCTGTTGGATCCCACATGAACACTGCAGCTGAAAGGAAATTGTGGCCCTGTATTTTCCACTTTATATCTTTGGAGGTTTTTACTAGAATGAGTATGAAAGTAATAAAACCAGACATCCTCACCATCTGACCTGAGCACACAGCTTTTGGGTCCTTGGACTCTGGAAATTTTGATCTGACAGATGGTGAAGCCTAATGGCCTAACAATTTCTCTCCCTCACACACAAATACACTCACTCCCTACACAGACTCACACACACTCCACACACTTGCCACACTTTGCTTCTGCTACAAAAGCATAATAATTGAGTATTAAGGCAAATTCCAAGAATAATGCTAAAATTAAGGAAATCATTTTCTGATGTCTTTAAAAAGAAATTAAATATATACTTCAGAATTTCATGGATAAGAAAAGTGAATATTTTATGCACAATTTTTTGAAATGAGTTAACAAGTATTATATGAACCAAGGGAAGAGATTTTTTTAATAGTTTATTTTGCTTTTCCTTTATGACACATTTCTCTCCCTTCCTCCCTCCCTCCCTCCCACTCCCTCCCACCTACCCTCCACCCCTTTCTCTCTCTGGAATATAAGTGGGACTATTGTATATTCAGATATTTGAGTGTAAAAAGAATTTCCAGAGACTAGAAATGTTTCTCTGCCTCTAAACAGAGGTCAATATTTGGATTGATTTGATCAGAGATATTTAGAGTTGAAGATTTTACTTAGCAGGTAGTTAGGCAATGAGAACTTCATAGGGAGAATTTCAGGATTAAATATTGGCTCGAAAAATGGGGGACCATTAGTTTTTGTATCTCATAA